TTATTTTGTTCGAGGGGTGTGGCCACATCGAAATATTTAATTTTCGTTCGATTCAAATCTCTTCGCACCGACCACCAAAGTGGAAATAATGGGGGTTTACCCAAATTAATTAATAAGAAACAAGATTATATGTTGCTTTTGTAAATTTTAATTAGATTTTAAATGCAAATATACAATTTATTATAAGTTATTTTGTTTTGTGGTGCAAAAAAAAAGTACGAAAGTCTCTCGGAGTCTCTATGTAAGACTATAAGCATGACTGCATGAAGATGCAATTTATAATGACTCATTCCTAACCCAAGACTTTTTAGTCAAGCGCAGCTGATCTTGCTTTACGTTATCGTTGATTTTGCTGAGATATTTTTAAAAAATGGATACACTTTCCCCCAAATCTTATTTATTTTACAAACAATGTATTGAATTTTATCTCCCGATCTCGTCTCCATGTGGTCACTATGTAATCAAAGGGAGATCACCCGAGAAACTTTATTGTGACACCATTAGTCCTAGAATATATTTTTAACATAAACAATAAGTGTACATCGGTAGCAACTACCAGGATGTATATATAAACTGAAAATTCTTGTTTTACCCCTTTACAAAAAACAAATTGTGTATGTCGTGAAGTCTGCATCGACTGGCTTCATAAATGATAAAAATGATTTACGTTTGGCTGAGTCAAGATACATGCGCACAAAGCCACAGGCCCTATCCAAAACCAATATCCATTTCAGAAACTGCTGTTGGCATTTCAAGAAGACCGCTTAATTTTAAAAAGTTTATTATCAAAAATATTTTCCGATCCGAGAGTTTATAACATATGTAGGCCTAACGAAGTATTGAACCTAGAAAATTCGAGTTGAAAATTCAAATAGATCTATTGAAATAAACAATTTGCGAAAATATAGATCTATTGATTTTTTATCGCGTGTAATTTTTGTGATGGGCCTTTTTTAGACTAATTAATAACATGTACATTGTAAAAACGAAAAACTTACTGCATGTACCGAGATATTGACAGCTCTTTATTGTTGCAGGTCGCCTTCATGCCACATGAAAAAAAAAGTCAAAGGGAGGCTACTTGTTTATCTCTTTTTATTTTGAGTTACTCCTCTCAAATGTAACCTGTTCAACTACAGGTCTAAGGGAAAGAGGGCAGTCAAGATTAGCAAGCCAGTTTATAGTAGAGTACATTCTTATAGGAGATAGAGCCTGGACATAAAATGAGAAGCTAATAGAGAGTGAGGTCTTCTAACGAAAAAAAATTAGCCTGAGGGTAATGGGGGGGGTTCGGATCCCCACAATATCACTCGTATTAAATGACGTATGACAAATCATTACTGATGTGTGACAAATACATGTAACAATGCAGATAACTTTAGTACGTGTTTATAAGACAATAATATATGCAATGAATATGCCAATAAAGATACTGCAGGGATACACTAATATTTAAAAAAGAAATTAATAATTGAATTGCATTTTCATTTATTTTTAAAAATCTGTACGATAAAAAATTAGGAACGTTACTATGTTTCGTGACTTGGTCATTGAATTAATTCATTATACCGGTGTGTCCCAAATGTATTACATGTATCATAAACGGATTGAACTGGTAATTTTACCTGTCCGTCATTTTCGTTTTCTTGAAATAACGTATAGAATATGACATCATAGATAGGGCGTTTGTCTCTGATTCATTCAACATAGTATCGGGGGGGGGGGGGGGGCTGGTATGGTTAGGTAGTATATTGCTTGACATGTTGTCAGGATATGAATTACAGTGCCAAATTTCTCATATATTGTAATAATTTTTCAGAAAAGAAGTCCTAGATAAATTAGTTCCAAATGCTAAAACGATTTTTTCACCCCGCATATATATATATTGAAATAAACATCGGCGTTGTCACATGACAAAGAATCATGATATTAGCACGTGAAGCTAGTTTCATTTATTATACCACAACTGAATTTTCCCTATATAAATTTAAGTGATTAGATCTGAACAATTCCATAACAATCGCTGTGAATCACCTAATCCTCGTGCGTTAGTTTTTGAGCTTATCTCTTCGTCGATAGCTACATGTAGTCAAGCTAATCCTCGTGCGTTAGTTTTTTTTTTTTTTTTTTTTGAGCTAATCCCTCTGTCGAAAGCTAGTCATTTTCATTGGCGGTTATCCGTAATCCTCTAGTTTTTCAATAAAAATAAATTTTGATTTTATTCAGTTATGAGAATATTGATAAGATATATAATCTGTTAATATTAAAATATTCTTTTTTAAAAAAGGCTAAACCCCCCTATTTCAACACGCACATGATGCAGTGTAATCAAAGAAGGGGAAGTGTAGATTTCTAAAATTAAAAGTGGTACTGAGAGAAGTTTGATAAAATTTTTCACTTTGATTATATAACGTTTTTATCGTTCATTGGTGGATTTATTTCAATTAAGTAATTTACATTAAATAATTGGTCTACGTGTCATTTCCGTTTAACCATCTTCTCAAGCCCTTAGCTAGCGAAAATGGTGGTTATCTTTTTTAAAACTTTTATAACTTTTATTTTCTGCGAAAAGGTCTGTTGATTATGCATTGTACATCATTTGTTAAGTTTTTATGGTCTCTGATATTAAAATAATTGTTTGTTTTCTCATTACGGTAATTTTTGCCCTTTCCGCTGCCCATAAGGGAGGGTCTCCAGACAGAATTTCACTGATGCACGTACATGGAATTGCCATTGGTATTTGGTTAGACGGCAATAAATCTGGTACATATACATGAGATATATGGGACCTTTTATAAACAAACTCTTAAGTTATTCAACTGCATGTAAGTACATGTATGAAATCTTTTCAATGGTCTGTATTGATAGCATCATTCAATACTACCAGAAGATGTTTGTCCGTATGTTTTGTCTATCAGGAGACAGGATCCAAGTAGCATTCTTCTTAGTTCGGGCCTGCAGGAAGCAATTACAATTACAGTTGGGTGGGGGGGAGGGGAGGGGCACCGTCACATTTCTTCAGCTGGGGGTCACTATCAACTACCACAATTAAATTCCTTAACAGGCAAAAAAAGAAGTCATCAGAAGTATTATTGAAGGGACACAAGCATATACTACCTACGTTTTCTTAAGTATTCTATATATCGGCAAAATTAGGGGGGAGGCAAGGTTCAAGATTAATTGCTAAAGTTGCTCTTTTTGCTCTCATCATTTCCATGCACCTATTATGTTGCAATATTTCATTGGAGACGTCTGGCAATCTGCTTAAAACTTATTAAAGTGCATTCAAATTGACGACCTGATAAATGACGTCTTCAAACTTTATCAACTTTTCAACATGATTTTTTATTTAATGTTTATAATATACATGTATGTTATGTATTCTATACGTATTCTTGGGTGAAACCTTTTTGATTGCTTTTTTCCTTTTATAAATATTAACTATTTTTGTGAATTTGGATTCTCACAATAGGAAAATACTAAGCGGAATAAAGTCCTTAACATTATTTATTTAAGAGAAATAACTTTTAATGAAAAATTACATCTAAACAATTGCTAAAAATTTCAGCTAAGTACACGTGCACTTTCTTTTTTCACAACAAAAACAACAACACCCCCACCTCATCATCCCTAAAACACTCGATAAAGTATTCAATATTTATTCTAATCCTACTCTTGTGGATTATTTTCCATCAGAGTAAATTTGTTACCTCTTATAAATAATTTCAACGTCATGATTTTAACGTGTTTAACGTCAACGTCATGACGTCATAGTATTTCATTCGAAAAAACAATGCTTATTTTAAACACCTGTAAAAAGAAAACTATAAAAGATATTGTTAAAAAATAAAGTGTTTTACAACGTACACATACTAGACTATCATTTAACAAAAATTCATAAATTTTGAATACGGTGCGGATTTTGATGCTTCGTGGCTCTAGTTCTTTGGCCGTGGTTTGCGACGATGATAAGACACGTGTCCGTAACGGAATGTTGTATTGGTTCAGACCCTTACCATGCACTTTTATTCCGTGTTTTTATTTCAGTTTCATTTTTTTAATATAATGACTTCGTTTTTCTTTAAATAATTTCCTTTTCTTTATTTAAGATAAATTCGCCTTTTTAAATTGAATCTCGTTTTTCTTTTTAATTTAATGATCTCTTTTTTTATTTAATAACTCTGTTTTATTTTTGTAATGATTTCGTTTTTCTTTATTTAATATTTCCGTTTTTCTTTCTTTATTCTTGGTGTGTAAAAGTATGTGAGGCTAGAGTTGCAAGATATTGAATTTAATAAATGTGCAGATTTGCAGAATTATAAGCTAAATATCCTTCCACAACAAGAAATAGTCCCTCACAAATCTTGCTTCTTTGTAGCCTTTTGAGCAGTTTTTATAAACAATAACATTGTTGAAATTAAATATGTTATAAAAAATTGAATTTTGATAAATAGTTTTGAAGTAAGAGGTTCTGTGTGAAATTTTCCAAAAAGCTGACGAGTGACCTACCTTAAATTTACGTATTTTTATAGATGCGTCAGGGTTGTGTGTTGAAACCGTTATATTTATTGATGTGTGTTTGATATATTTACCAACAATGTATGACCACTAAGGAATTATATAAAATTACAACCCTTCTTTACTACTAATTTCACTGCATTTAATATACATGTAGGTATACATTTACATGTGAAAAAATTTGTAATTTTTTTGTCATACTTCATGTTCTTTCCACAACGATCCGGAATCATTTATAAAATTAAAAAAAAAATAATATTTAAAACTGAACATTTTATAAATCCATCATTCCTTAACACTGGATCATTTTTTTCTTTATTTGACTATTTTACATTGTTAATATATTTTAATATTGTGTTTAAATGATTAGATATCATCTCAAATCACTAGTATTCAAATCAAGAATAGAAATCTATTTTTAAAATACAAGTAGATGTACTTTCGCTTTAACACTTCGTATACTTTCGATATAGATGTAAATTCGGAGAATCGAAATGGAAAATAGTCGAATAGAGTATAACAACTCAGTTTACATACAATTCCTTACAGGTAAGTGTATTCCTTGTATTTCACAACACATATTGTTCTTATTTGAATTTTATCATTACCAGCTGATTACTATTAATCGATCATTTAGATTATCTCATAATTACTGCGTAAAACGGAATCATAGGTAATGGTGATAAACAAAAAAAAAAAAAACATCTTGCACCTATGATCAGTCTTCTTTAGTGTTGTGTTATTTCAGATAAGAAGAAGTAAGAAGTCTATAATTATAAATTATGTTTAAAAAAGTATAAGTTTGGGAGGAAAATAAATAAAAGAAAGAACAACGACTCAGATTTACTCCTATGATTTTAGCAGTTGCTCGCCCTCATAAATGACTGCAATATGTCCACCACAAGGAAGTGCTTCTACATGTCACAGAAACCTGAAGGAAATGTGCATTTTAAGGACGAATGATACACGTTTCTTTGTGTTCCTATGCAAATCTATACGAAAGAAAAGTCTAATATTTCTAATGTTTTGCTGAGCGGGCATAAAAAAAATCTTTGTTTTACCTTAAAAAATTTGTTCCTATACAAATCTATTCGAAAAAAGTTTAACATTTTTAATGTTTTGCCGAGCGGGCATAAAAAAATCGATGTTGGACCGCTGAGTAAGATGTTGGACCGCTCGGAGAGATGTTGGACCGCTTACGTCACAGAATGGGCGGAGCTTTATCTCATTTTCATTAGTTGGTGTAAAACAGTGAGAGACCTGATGTTACATTACGGAATATAGTACAAAATACATGTATGTCAAAAAATAAATAATAAAATGAAAGGTGTAACAAAACATTTATTGACAGAGTTCTCAGGCAGACAGTTTGGTTCTTGGGTCCGACAAAAGGCATGTTGCCCTCGAACTCAGTCAATAAATGTATAATGATTGACTGTTGAATGGAATATTGAACAGGTCGATTAGATGCTGGACCGCTTAGATTCTACGTCCAACATAGGCGATTATTGGCGGAGCTCAATCTTATTTTCATTCGTTGGTGTTCAACATTGACGGACCTGAGGATACATCAAGGAACATAATATACAGTTGTTGACTGGGGTAGAGGAAAAACTTTAAAGTGGATCTGTTGGACTGGAGTGCGAGCTTATGCCTAATCCGTAGGCTGCGGGCAACAGCTTGCTATCCGGTCCAACAGGTTTCCCGAGACTCCTACCTGTCAAAAACTGTTTTGTTATATTCCAATTCTACAATAAATTTGAACACATTTTAATTGTTAATGGTAATGTTACATCCATGAAAAGAAAAGATTGATTTTGTGAAATTTGCGTTAAAGATACTGATGCCCATTTCCTCAAAATTTCCAAACATTGGCTTGTCAAACAAGAGAGCAAGTTGTTCGTCGTTAACTTCAACAATATCAGAAAGTACAACCGACTTTCGACTTGATTTTATCCTCGTTTGCCGCAATGTAAACCTATAGGGTTTAGCATGGACATATTGTTTGAACATTTTAAACTTAGACAATATTAATATTAATAATAATCATCTCTAGTTTTTAGCAGTGAAAATAAAATGATATATAAATGTTCATTAAATCAGAATGTATATTATTAGTGACGCAGATTCGGTGACTTTATAATTGGAAAAAAGGACTTTTATTTTGTAAACAATTATTATCTTGTCAAAACAAATTGGATTTTGTTGTTGTTCAAATGCACTATAATTTGGTAGATCATTTTGTATGAAATTGATCCGAATAGACCAATCAAGCCCATCGATAGTAAGTAATAAGAATTGAGCGGAAATACAATGGTATTATTGAGAGTTTTGACTAAGAGCAATAAAATTGGGAACTTTGAAGTAAATAAGTAAAAGAGCTTAAGGCTGGAACTCCTGTGGTGCAGAGATGGGGACTGATCCCATAAATATTAGTAACATGTATTTACCTACATTTTAGGGTGGTGCCATGTTGGGTTTCATAGGTCAACGGACAGACCTACGGACAAAGCGTAGGTGGTTGGTGATGGTAAATTATCCAATGAAATGCATTTTTATATCCGGGACCATGGATATCCACTGAGCACAAAATACCCTGTTTTAGTCAGAAAAGAGTATTCCAGTTCTTATTCCCGCTCTCATTCCTATTTCTGTTTTTAATTCCCGGTTTTATTCTCAAATTATTACATCTCTTTGGCATTTTGTTATTTTGGGAATCATTCTCTTGGACTTTTGTTTATTTATTATTTGGAGTTCAGTCTTAAACTCTTTATCTTTTGGACGGACCCTTTGGATATCTAGATAAAAAGTGTATTGGTCTCTTCTGATCATATTTCAGGAACGAATATTTCTAAAACTATACGATCACGGAAAAATTGTAAATTGGAATTTTTTAATAAACTTTTGAAATCGACAAAAGAGTTGTCATTGGCTTACAGCAACTTGAACATCGGCCATTTCTGTTTATTTGCTGATTACATTTAAGGTACATTAACTCTCTGCTTACTCATTTAAAATATTGCTTGAACCTTAATGATTTTCAATTAATACAAAAAATTATAGCATAGCTTGCGGGGCAAAATAAGGCCAAAAAAAAGACACTTCAACTTGGCAAATCTATAATGGAATAATAAACATTTATGTTATTAAGAGTTTTCTCTCTTATCAGAGTATCAATGAACCTTAACCACATTTTTTTTTTACATTCAATTATAGCTATAACGGTTACCCGAATCAGCCAAGGTTTGCCGAATAAGGAAATGATAACTCAGTTTTGACAGAAAAGTAATATAATGTCACTGAAAAGAAATATAATGTCACAGAAAAGTAGATTATTCTTTTGATTTTTTTTCTCTCCTTAGACTTTGACTTCTTAGACGTGAATAAAACATCCATATTTCCACCAAAAAGGACACAGCTAGAGTAATCATGGTAATATTGTTTAATTTCATTAATTTACTCTCTTCCTTCTTTTCAAATGTTTCTAAAGAAACACAAAGTAAAATGATAATACAATATTCTCAATATTCCCAATAACCTGTTATATTTTATTGTATAAAAGTAATGAGGGAAATGTGGACCGTATTTCATTCAACAAACCAATGTCCCATGTAACGACAGCTAGGCAGCGTTGGCACGATAAAGATCCCTCATTTCTCAATGGCCTTGAGTGCCGAGTAAAGGTCTAAATTTGAACCCATCACCGGTATATGGTGACGTCACTACATACATATGAGTCATAAATTCTTAAATGGGACGAAAACAATATGATATTGATATTCCTTCGAAGAAAAAAAAATGTTTGTATCATCTATCTTTAATACATTGGCATTCCTTACAAACTTAACAGCGATTCATTAATCATATTCAAGAATTTAGTCATATATCGAAGACTTTATTGCACAAAACAGAGGGAACAGCGTTTTTGTGCCACGCGAGGGTGTGTCTTTTTCTCGTAAAGGACTTGTGTTCTTTTTCTTCCATTTCAATGAATCGCATGAGGATAACGAACAGTATTCAAGATCAAAGCTCCTTAAAGCAATATAAAATAGGAGCAGAGAAAACACAGATCTCAAAAGCATCAGAGGTGGGATCAGATGCCATGGATGACTGAGCATCCCCTGACGACCAGTCACACACAAATTTCATTTTAATGAACTAAATATATTATATTTTTCTTATCCAGTCTATTATGAAAGTCGTCCCCTGATAAGATCAAGAAGGAAGAGCATTCTTGATATTCAAGCCTACTTTTAAAAAATAATGTGTGCAAAATTGGCGCAATGTAAATCATGTTATGATAATTCATTGTTATCATATTTAAAATGTCTTCATTTCGCAATTAATAAAATGTCATATTTTATTATAGAAAAAAAATAATAAGTTAAAGTATGCATATTTTCGTTCCAGATTTCTTTTGAACACAGATAGAAAAACAGGTATCGACTAATTTCAAACGAAGAAGCTTTTATTCTTCATGCATTTGATAAGATACAAAATTTATGCACCAGTATGCCATTGATCTAAAAGTTTTGAACTAATATAAATATATTTTATTCATTTATTTCACTTTTCTTAGATTCAAAAATATTTAAGAGAAAACATAACTGGGAAATAATCAATACAAAGTTTAATATAATTCTCCATCAGCGGATTGCTGTTTAATTCTCAATAATGATCATTTTTTTATCATAAAAAAAATCAGGAAACTCTTATTGTGAATAATGATTTCTGATCAAAATGGCATTTGGGTTACATTTAAGTGTGAAGAGTTACCTAAAAGGACACTGGGTCATGGACAGTAAATCAGTTGGTTAAAGTACATGTACATGTGCATGTATTTCATCAAGATTTTTACATTTTTTTTCTTCAAAATATTAAATAATTTTTAATAGGAATCCAGCTTGAGAGCTAACTCGAAATCAAATCTGATGGATCAAACTGCAGTTTTAAAATGCGGTGTTTCAAACTGTCAAGAAAAGGTAAATTACATATTATATATATACATGTACGAGGGTTGATTAAAAAAATCGTGGAATATCTTCATAATTTTTTTTAATTTATGAGTGAATCTGGTTGAAAATGACAAATGAGATATAATAGACACTTGTTGAACTTTTTAAATAAAAAAATATTAAAAATATTTCAGATACATGTAACGTCTCTTTGGCAGTTACCATAGGAGCGAATGTTTGAAATTGCAAGGGAGACATTTACTTGTTCATTATCATTTTAATTTTAGATACATGAAAATGAAATGAAGAAATCCGTCCTAGATGGCATATAAAACGAAAATTGTCTAGTTATTACGATTGCTTGACCTTTTATAAATCTTTTTCTGAGATTTTATTTGATTTTATGGATATTTAGTTTATCAATTGATTATTTATTGTGCATCTTGAAATTGTTAGACAACGTTGAATATCGGTCAAATTATACGTTTTGTGAAATTTTCGGGGACACTCTGACTTAAACACATATACTGCTGATATAGAGTAGAGAAAATGCAGTTAGTTTTCCAATGGCGTGAGAAATTTACGAAAATTATAACTTCGTTGGAAGTTGATAAAAGGTGTTAAACATTTATAGGGTCTGTTTTTCTCTGTAGAAAACTGTAACTTTAAAGGTAATTGGAACGTTGTGAATTGTTTTAGCAATGTTTCATAATGGATTTATGTTTAGATAATTTTTTCCTATAGTTTTGCATATAGATACCTTTCATCAAATCAGGATAAAATTTTACCCAAAAATTTCCATGAACTTTTGAATCATCCCTCGTATTTGTATATACATGTATTTATATGTTTGATAAAGAATGTAATATTTCATTGAAAAGTTGATAAAGTTTGGAGTACAAAACATTAATCCGGTTTCCGTAATATTTCTTCATATTAAATAATTATGATAAAACCTTTGAGACAAAAACATTTTTAGAGAACTGTTCGTGTATTGTAGGCAGCGACTTTCTCTCTTGACACGTGTGGTCATGTTGTTTGCACACGCTGTTTAGTAAAGTCAAGAACTTCCCAAGATAACACCAATATTTGTGTCTGTCCATTGTGTAAAAACTGTCGTTACCCCGCCTGGATTGAGTTTGTTACACTTGTTAGAAAAGTGTCATGTATGGTATGTATTATTTTTGTTTTTTTCGTTTGCTTGTTCATTCGGTAATATTATGGTGTTTTTTACTATTTGTTTCATAAAAGTTAAATGAATTAAACAATTTCTTTTCAAGCAAAATATGTGTAATATACCGAAAGCTAGTAGTAATTACTTACCTTAAAAAAGGTACAAAGGTGGACAGTTGGTAAAATACATGTATAATCACTTTTTATTTTCATAATGACAGAATTACTGTGGAGCCTGCTTGTGTGAAAAGGTGTGTATAATTCATGTAAATTTATGTACCGTATAAGTAGACTTTTTAGCGAGGATTTAATTTTTGGTATTATTAGCGAGGGTGCGGATATCGCTCAAATTTAATATCGCTAATAATAAATTGCATATTATTTGTAATAGCCTTTTGAAATCGCTTAATTTACTTCTCGCTAAAAATTAATACCAGTAGAAATCGCTAAAGGAGTAAATATGATAAGAGCCAATTTTGGCCCCCTAAAAATCAACATTTTAGAATGACATTCTAATATGTTAAATTGATATTTATTTTGTAGAAATATTTCCAATGTCTTTTTCACATTTATGGGCACTCACTGGCTGTAAATGACCTGATAAATAGTGCTATTTTTGTTATCTAACCAAAAAAGCCAAAAAATATGCCTTTTTCTTGATGTTTTTTCTTATGGGAAACATAGAGCGCAGTTTAGAACATGAATAATTTTTATGTCACTAATTAGTATTGGATAGATACATCTTTCGTAAAAAATTAAAAAATGTTCTAGTTTGCGCTCTATATTTTCTGGAAGAGAAACTGCTTGAAAATAAGCAGTTTTATACAAAATATGCCAAAATGGCGAGAAAACGTGATTTGTATGGTGTCATATTTCTAAAATAACGGCATTTTGATCAAAATGAAAATGACCAATAAAGGTCGCATATATAGCTGTACAAATTAAAGCTATATATAAAGTAAAATTAAGATACATGTACTGATTTTAAGGGGCCAATTGAGACACTTACCATATATCGCTCTTTGCGTCTCGCTAAAATTACTTCCCCTTATACGCTATGTATCACAGGTCAACAACGCAATATTTTCTCAAAGTAAATTTTAATGGTGTCATACCAAACATTTATTTGGGTTTGTACGAGTGTTTGTCCCGGTAAAACCATGAACGGAGCGTTTTCCTTTGAAAAAAAATAGCGCATGAAAATCTAGAATAAAAACCTTTCACAGGTTTATGGTGCCTCTTTAATTCTCGAATGGCACATAAACAAATACATGTACAACTACCAACCAATGAATTTGTTCTTTAATTAAGCAAAGGATTATAAGTAACGTTGCATTTTGACCTCTATCATTTACGTGTGAAACCATGCGTTAATTAAGTCAAATATTGTGTAAATTTAAAAATATGTCTATTTAAAACAGAATGATATATTAATCCTTGCGCAAATAAATACAGAGCCCCGAAAATGCTGAAACGGTGCACTAATTATTTTTCACGGTAAACAACATGTTCACGATTAAACTTGACAATCCATGTACGCGAATGTTCCTAATACGTGTATTTTAACTTTAAAAATATTGAGAAGCTTCACGGACTCTTACAACATGTACTGAAGTTTGGGAAATACATGTAGTAGAATAAAGAAACAATCAAAAGTAACTAATGTATAAAAATAGTTTAAGTTTTTATTCTTGTCTTTTGCAGGCAATTTTTAAGTCAAATTGTGGTCATTTGTTTTGTGGCAGCTGTTTAGAGATATTGGCGTCTACAACATTGCCTGTATGTAATGTTCTTGACTGCCAAGAAAAATTACCGTCTGATGAACTAAAAGGGTGTGTGAAGCAAAAAATGGACATACTGGTACTGTAGAAGAGAATATATTACTTATATATATTTCATCAAAACCCCTTTTGCTCAACAGTGTAAAAAATGTGTTCATTGTTTAAAAAATATATATATTCAAATGTGTTAAATGAATTAAAAGAAATAAATGAAAAGAAAATACAATTAACAGACACATAAAAATGGTTGACCTTTTTTGTCATTTTCAGCAAGTTTTCGTTTCTGTATCACATGCTTTACTAAAAATTAGAATTGTTTTCGTTTTAAGGTATGGCGAACGTTTGAAATTTCAAACAAGCAGGAAAAATGCGATGAATTGTGTGGGAATCGAGTAAGTTTTAATATAGTTGATTAAAATAAAATAATGATTTTAATAAGTTACACGTCGTTTTTACATTTCTGAATCATATAAAAATAAAAGCAGGTACCAATATTGTCTTTATTTGTAAAGCTCAATTCTAATTATATTTAAAGGAACTGCTTAATTCTACAAGTGATAATTCGTTTTATACTTATAGCACAATTTCTAAGGAGGAAATCGTCAAAATTATAAGTCAGATTGTGAATATATCTAATATTTCCATCAACCAAAATGAATTCGAATTACCACATCTTTCCTAGATTTTAGAAATAAAGACACACTCATTGGTTCCAGTAAATGTTCTATTTAGGCTCGTTCTTTCCTCCTTACTTAAATATTAACAACATCCAAAGAGAAACTTGATAAGTACTGTGCAACAATATTTTGGAAAGGTGGTATAAATCGGATGTGAATTATAAAAACTACATGGCATTTTCAGAAAAAATGACATCATAGAAGACTTTCAGTACTCTACCAATTAATCTTTATAATTAACATGATAACATTATTAATTTTTTAATCGTTATCTTTCTTACTTATGCGACAATTAACCCTTGTCACGGGTATCACTTAGACCTTTAAAACTTCCCCAAATATATCTATAAAATCTGCAAATTTAAATAAAGTATAACTAGATTTATTTTTGGCAAATGATCTGTCATTCAATATGTTTACAAATATACTAGTAAGATAAACTCTTGTAATATTGAGTCAAAATACTTATAACATTACGTACTGCTATTTACATGCATGTGGGTTTCGTACATGCAACATATGGTTGTTTATTATGCATATTAAGTTAAACAGAAAATAAAAGTAAAGTGTATTTCTACATTTCAGGCTGTAGTGAAAGTTAAGAGCTGTTCACACTGTTATTGTTTTCCCTGTGCAGACCTGAAACTTCTCAAAAATGAAAAAGGCACCAGCGAAGATATTGCCTGTTTAGAGCGGACTTGCTGTGACACTTGGATACCAAAGCAACTTTTGGAATTTTTTCTTAAAATGTTCAAAGAAATTCCAGTGATGGTTGGCTTTTACTACTACATCAAATACACAAGACATTGCCTCATTCATTTATTTCTATCCTTCCTATTGCTTGGCTAATTATTTATGCAGAATGTAGGACCTACATCCTGCTTAATATCATTACATTGTAACTATCTATTAACTATGTAACCACTTATGTTTTAGACTGCAGTTTCAATCAAAGTGAGCGATGAGAAATGTTACAATAAGAAATGCAATGATGGAAGCATAAAAACGGTAAACAATAACATGAAAATTTCTTTTGATAATTATTTATGCAATGTATTTTGCTTTAAAATACGGCATTGTTTATGAAATTGATATTTTATTCGATGCCTTTCCTCAGTATTAAGCTCACCTAACTAAGGCAATGATTTAAGTTATCTTTTCTTTTGTCTCAATCTGTCTGTCGTGTATTTAATGCCCCAGTGTTGCAACCACTATTGAAATAACGACCACTATTGAAATAATTATATCAATAGTGGTTAAGAGTGCATTTCAATAGCAAACATAGTAAGTAACCACTATTGAAATACGACCACTATTGAAATAATTATATCAATAGTGGTTAAGAGTGCAGTTCAATAGCAAACATAGTTAGTAACCACTATTGAAATACGACCACTATTGAAATAATTGTATCAATAGTGGTTTAGAGTGCATTTCAATAACAAACATAGGTAATAACCACTACTGAAGTACGACTACTATTAAAACAATTATTTCAATAGTGGGTGAGGGTGTATTTCAATAACAAACATAAATAGTAACCACTATTGAAATACGACCACTATTGAAATAATTATTTCAATAGTGGGTGAGAGTGCATTTCTCTATAATTACCATAGGTTTCAATCACTACTGAAAAACGAGCTGTTGAAATCAATAATTTTATCCATATTGAAATCTTTATTTCAAAAATGAACATTATTTCAATAGTGGTTGCAACCTATGTTTGTTATTGAAATGAATCTCACCCACTATCGACATAATTATTTCAAAAGTAGTCGTATTTCAATAGTGGTTGCGATCTCTGTTTGTTATTGAAATGCACTCTCAACCACTATTGAAATAATTATTTGAATAGTGGTTGTATTTCAATAGTGGTTATCACCTATGTTTGTTATTGAAATGCACTCTCAACCACTATTGATATAATTATTTCAATAGTGGTTGTATTTCAATATTGTTTACTAGCTATGTTTGCTATTGAAAGGCACTCTCAACCACTATTGATAAAATTATTTCAATAGTGGTCGTTATTTCAATAGTGGTTGCAACACCCCAGTAAACAAAGATTTGATGTAATATAGTTTTTGTCCTGTTCGTCAGTCTGTTCGTCTAGCTGTCTGCTAGTCTGTGTATCTGTTCCTCTAAATATAAATAAAAATTTTAACCTTGCTCATAGATTTTGACTTGCTAGGGTTATCGCTCGCATATTTCACAGGTGTATTCCTTGGAAAAGAATTTTTTTTCTAAAAACCAAATTTGACTTCTTGACCTTGGAGTTTACCTCACTTAAAAATAACCCCTGGCCATAACTATCGAACCGCTGGTGCGAGATATTTCATACTCAGAGGTATATTCATTTTGACAAGACCTTTCGATTGGTAAAGATATTTTTTTAAACCTTTTGACCTTAACCCTAGAGTTTGAAACCACTTTTGAACAATTAGCACTAAGGGTTTCTGATTTCACAGAGTATTCCTGCCGAAAATCTCCTTCCTCTTGATACCAACAATTTTAACCGTTTGACCTTGACTTTTGAGTTTGACTCCGATCTTCACCATAAGCTGCCATACGAGGACTTTGGTGTTTCACAAACACATCTTGTTTTTTTTTATTTCAAAACTTGTAAAACCACAAATTTCTAAACCAGGTTTGTTCATTACACGCTTTTTGGGTAAATTAGGGACATAATAGTCGGTCAACATTTGACAATAGAATATACTCCAGTAAAGTCAAACGTTTAGATATTCTAAACAGCGGGGGGATGTTAAAATCAAACTGATAAAAAGCAGCTTTTTATATTATGTACTGTTTATTCAAAATTCCTTTAAATCTTGATTCCTTAAGCTTACAATGGGTCAAAATTGCCATTTAAATTCTTTCATTCATTGTGTTGTATAATTATGTAAAACAAAATAATTTTAGTAACAGTTGAACTTATACGATTTATAGTATTTCGCTAGAAATGATAGTTAATGTATTTTTTCATGCCTTTAAACATGCAATGAATTTGAAAAATTGTGCGAATTTCTTGCATCTGTGTGACCTACTTATACCGAAAAAGATGATGTCATGGGTTGTCAATTGTTAATAACACAACATTTTGCCCAAATAACTATGACAGAGGCTTAAGAAAACCAAAACAAACTGTGCTTGCTGGTTTTAGTACAAATAATTTTAAAAAATATTATATGAATATTAATGAGAAGTAAATCACGTGGGAGCAATCTCATGAATAAGATGAACATCATTTCTCCATATGACGTGTTTTTAATCATCTGTTGAAAGCAACATCGCAAAATTAATTTTCAATTAAGAATATGCGGTGTATAGTGTGGCTTCTGGATACAAATGCTGAACAATGAATATTTGATAAAAATTATAAAGAACCAATCAGATATTAAATAAACGGAAATGTTTAGTAGGAATAAACTTCGAATTTTCTCCATTTCTATTGCTACCTGTGATTCGCTTTTTAAAATAATACTTTGAAAGTATTCAATTTTTATTTTTAGATTAGGTTAAGGAACAAATCTTGTTCCTTTCTGCATGCATTTTGCATCAATTGTTTTGAAGAAAAGTTAAGTTGTTCTGATGTTGTGAGTGAACCGTTCATGCAGTGGAACTGTATTGAGGATTTGATTGTCTGCGATTGCCCTTGCTGCAAATCAAGAACTCCTGTGAAATGCCTGAAAGCTGTCATAGATGTGATAAAAGGACACGACTGGACGGTAAATAACTTATAAATATTTTTCCTCCGAGCATTAAAACTCCCTGTGCTACTGTATTAAATAATGTTATACTTTCCTTCCAGAAAGAAATATTCTTGAGAAAAGCAGTTTTTCAAGAAGAGTGTGATCAGTGTAAAAATGCTGAGGTATTTATATGGATACATTTAACACCTAATGCATCATTTACGGTTTTAATTGGAAAGGGGAATAAAAAGACATTATGTTGTCATGTAATTAAGGTCTTCCGTCTTCAGCGGAAGACCTTCTTGTTATTCTTAGGTTTCTTTTCCACTTTTATTATTCTTTTTTTTCTTACCGATTTTGTGCACGCGATTTCTCAAAAACGGCTCGATGGATTTTCATGAAACTTTCAGGACTTATGTTACATTACTTGAACCTTATGCATTTTTTTCCGATTTGATGACGTCACTTCCGGTTTGGAGATGTTGCCAATTTTATGATTTTTGAAGGGTCAGTTTGTCCGCAGACTTTCTCAATAATGGCTCAAGATAGAAACATGAAACTTTCAGGTATGATAGACCAAAGTCTGTAGATATGTATAACGTATTTCATTTTAATCGGAAGTGCCGCATGTCGGCGCTCGCTATGTCCCAAAAATAGACGTATCACGAATTTCAAAATTTGCAACACTTTTTCGAAGATATCTTTTTACCTAGATATATTTTGTTAAGACATATTGAGTAAAAGAAGTGCAGAATTTCAAGATCTTTCAAATGATATCTCGAAAAAAGGACTGGCCCCTAAAATAAGGGGCCTAGTGGGGCCAAAACTTTTTTCTTTCTATCTCAATGTCTATAAAGAATTTGTAATACCTCAAAGAAGCAAAGTTGTTCAAAATATCAAGCTCAATCTACTAGCGTCGTCTAAATGTGTCCGGCGACGTCACTTCCGGCCAAACCGGAAGTACTCTGAAAATACGTATATTTGACGTTCATGACAAGTTTTGGGGTTACAAATGTCTCTGGGGGCATAAAAATTAATTTTCTGTCCGTCGTCGTCACTTCCGGTCAGACCAGAAGTACCTAAAAATTTTTGCATAAATTAACATCCTTTTAGAGGATTTAAGCTATTTTGGGCGTTATTTCGAATTTTTGTTATAAATAAAATCTACTTCCGGTCAAACAGGACGGAAGACCTACTCGTTGCTTTGCAACGAGCTCGGCTCTAGTTTGTTTTTCTTATTCTGTGTCAATAGGCTTTCGCCACCTGCATGCATTGTTCACATGGATACTGCTCTGATTGCATGAAGGATATATCTGAACGAAGAGATAAAGAGTATCATGTCTGTGATGTGACATACTGCATGTGTCGCGTTCCAATTGCAGTTTTTCAAGGATTCTTGAAAAGGACATTGAAAAATGAGGTGTTGTTTTCATTTTTATGTAAAGGGACTTTTTCATTTTATTTTTTTATTTTCAAAGTTTCTACTGAGAGTAATTTTTTTAAAAATTGTGTTTTTTCTATGTTTCAGACAAATTTAGATCCCAGTGACCAGAGAATTGAGCAAAGGGGTAAGTGAAAAAAATAATAGAATAAGGACAAATAACATATTACATTTTTTTTTTATCTTTATATTATTTTTTTTACCATTTTACGTAGAAAATAATCTGCATTGTTCAATGGAATGCGGGGTGGTATATTATGAAGCAATTTGTGGGAGTTGGATTTCATACCAAGCATACGATTAAGCTTGTTTATATCAGGTTCTTAGGGATGTGATGGGATACAGTAGCATAAGTGTCAGAGTAATGTAAGAATATATGCAGTACATGAACCACATAATTGCAGAATAGCTATTTTTTAAATGAATTAATAGTATACATTTATTGCATGATAGTGAGGGAAATATGAAGATTTATTCAGCCAAGAAAATTCATATTCCCCGAGGGCTTCGGTGAAATATGAAGTTTTATGGCCTGATCACGTGATAATCTAGATCCAATCAGATAACGCGTTGTTTAGAAAAATTATAATGAGGTATAATATTTTTTTTTCCTTCCTTGAATGCGATATGATAAGTGATTCTTTGTGCACGTGCTTTAATGTAGATAAACCAAATATCTCAGTGGAAATGTCCATCGACAAAAAGAATCGCATCTTGTTGTTGAATGCTGAAATAGAAACAAAATCTAATATCAATATGCATGAGTGGATGAAGGATGACAAACCATTAAAAATGAACGACGGGAAAAAATATGAAGAAAAGGGAACTTTAACAAATACACCACAATTAAAAATATCTAATATTGGAAAAGAAGACGAAGGGAAATATACACTCACTGCCAAAAATGCTTATTACAAAGCATCAAGTAACTGTGTTGAATTCTGTGTTGAGAAAGGTGTGGTTGATTTATTGATTTATCATCTCTATATAACACATTTTTTTTAAAAATCAGATTCATTATAAATAGCTTCTTTTCTGGTATAATATCCTCTATATTTGGGCAGCTTCTCCATCAGTGTCGATTAGGACAGAATTTGGCGATAATCACCAACGAGGGATTATAATTGTAGATATAATCACAAAATGGCCCATTGAACGTGTTCACTGGCTTAAAAATGGAAGAAAAATTAATCTGTCTGATGTCGGGAAAAAAATCATTGAAAATAAAATTTTGGACCAAGAAAGCCAGAGGATGCTAAGTATAAACGACTTTCGGAAACAAGACGAAGGTTCATACTCATGTGAGGTGGAAACTCTCGGAGGCAAAGAGAAAAGTGCATCCATTTTAATGAAATGTCCAAGATGTTTTTATATTAAATTGAGTACATAGTCAAAGTATATATTAGTTCTTAGTTGAAATTGGTCAGCTGTTCATAAACTTATGTAATAACTATTGTAAAATATGAGAACTTGAATTAGTACACAGCTCCTTAATTTGCTTAATATTTTGAAAATATGTGTTATTTTAAAAACTTTATTTTTTCTGAATTAGTTTTACATTTATTTACAGTTGTCCCGAGTGTGTCTTTGTCACTTATCTTCAATGAAAAGAACCATTCCTTGCTTCTTTGTACAGAGATTGTGTCTAATCTCAAAACCAAAGCACCCAAGTGGATGAAGGATGGAAAGCAGATATGTTTGAACAAACAACCTCAAAAGTATTTGGAAAGCCGACATCCCATGACTAAACCAAGTCTGACAATATTTGATGTTGGAAAAGCTGACGAAGGAATGTACACAGTTTCAATTGAAAATGAATATGGACCAGGAATAAGCGAGACTAAAGTCTTTCGAATTCCAAAAGGTATGACTTGTTTATTTCAAATTGTTCTAATTTTTACCTGTTATAATGTAAGAGAATGGAGTGCTCTTCCGAAAAGAACTTGTGCAAAGAGTTCTCACACAGGTATTGATGTAATGAAAGGTTTGATAATGTTAAATAACTTTATGTTACTTAATGATGAGAGCTTTACAATCAAAATTCTTTCTTGTCAAAAAAAGAGCATTATACAAGGACTGTTCTGAAATTATTGAGACATTTACTTTTACTCCATAAAGGACAGAGGTAAATTCAGTTAAACTTGTCAACAGTTTATATAAAAAACAAATAAAATAATTAAACAAAATTTTTGATTTATAGGATGATTAGATAAGTTCCGGTGAAATAATAAACATGCATATGTCTATCGACCTGGAGCAGCATCGCTATGTCATTTCAAAGTCACTTCAGCCGCAGATGTTTTCGCATGTAAAACGACTCTGGCTTAACGTAAAATTCTACTTTGTAGTCATAATCATATTTCTTTATCGTGCTAATTTTTTTTTACTGATATCCATATTCCTTATCAGAATTTCAACGAACTTGCACATTATGATGACAAAAAAAAATTGAAAAATAATATAAGTTGAATCATTTTTGCTCCTATTTTTGATCCACAGGGGGTTGTATCTTGGTGTTACATTTTTCTGATTTCGTGACTGCCCCGGGTACCCCTACCCTAGACACATTTAAATTTAATTTTTGTAAATTGTATCTTGCTTTTATGAATTCTTAATTCTTAATATTTGTCAAACGTATATGCAAATCTTCACCGAAAGACGTTCAATCGAAAGAAACATATACACAAGATTTCCGAACAGCGCTCGACCAAGGGTTGATCCAAAAGTTATTTCTCAGTTGCTGTAAAATCTCAATATATTTCATCAATATTTTACTTTCCTTCTCTTTATTGACTTTGGTTTTCCTTAGTTTTATAATGACCTTTTGAATTAGTTTTTTTCTTCCACCGTATGACAAGCATGCTATCGCTTTCGTTATGACGGTTCTTTCAGTTCATCCACATTTCAAACCTTTAAACCTCTCAAGTCTTTCTGTTTGATAATCTCATATGTCATTTTGTTAAAAAGTATCTAGTTTTGAGATATTTATTTGGTAAAAATGTTTTAGACTGCAATGAGATGCATTGAACATGCCTTTGTCATTATCAAAATTGTAAGTTATTGTTTTCAGATCCACCAAAATTATTACTCTCATTCGTCCATAATATTCATGAAAAGTGCTTTACTGTGGTGGCAGAGATTGATTCCAAGTGGCCTCTCCTGATATCAAAATGGCAAAAAGATGGAATTGATCTTATACTTTTTCAAAATATGACAGAAGTTTTTGACAGTACTCGTCGGACCCTTGTTATCAAAAACTATACAGCGAAAGATATAGGAAGATACAAATTTATTGCAGAAAGTGTAGCAGGGCGGGGCGAAAGTACGGAGATTGAATTAAAAATCCCAGACGGTAAGCGTGGTTTCTCTTGTGATATATTCAAAAGTACAGTGTAACACGTCTGATAAATTCCATAAAAATAATAAATAAGTATCATACTGGTAATTTATATACAAATCATCATAATATTGTAGTTTGATTACCGGTAGATGTGGTAGTTTATATAAGGTATAATTATATTTCCTGGCATATGCAATTTATGAAACTTGTATATACTTCATAATGTTGATATTATGAGATGAATACACTGACCAAAAGGTATGTAACAAAATATTAATAAAACATACATTTTCTTTAGTTCTACCCAAAGTAACGATGGAAATGTTTGTCTTGAAAAAGAAAGAAAAATTGAAATTTGTGACGACTATCCATTCCGAATCACCACTTAAAGATGTCCGGTGGCTAGCTAACGACAAATTTATTGACCAGAGAAGGTTATGCAAATACAGGATAGAAAAAGGTGGCAACGAATATACACTGTATGTAAACGATGTTACACAAGATGATGAAGGTGTATACAGGGCTGTTGTAGAGAACAGAGCTGGGACCAACTCCAGTCAAGCAATCACGTTTAATTTCTCCGGCGGTGATTTATTTATATTTTTTTTTTACATCTAGAACGTTAAACATCAAACGAATATTCCCATTTTAAGAAAAGTTAAATGATATTTCATACATTTTTGTATTTTTTTTTAGAAAATCCTAAAGTTTCCCTCACACAAACAGCGGAGAAACACACTGTCGAATTGAACGGACTTATAGAATCATCTTGGCCAATTAAAAAGAGAATATGGCAGAGGGATGGATTAAATCTACCGAAATTGCCTGGAAAATATGACGTCACCGAAACCAAATTGAGGATAAATAAAATAACAAAGCAAGATGAAGGACTTTACAGACTCTGTGTACAAAGTACGGCAGGGATCGGTAAAAGTAAACAGATTCGGATATCGATAGAGACTGAACCAGGTAGTTTATACTAATATTCCTGAGTCCATTGTGTAATGGTTGATACGCTTTTATTACGAAACAGGAATGTACATCCTACATTCATACAGTGTATATGAGATAAATATTAGGTTTGGCTACACCTTTTGCATAAAATACATTAAATTTATTCTTTTGAAAGGAAAAAAAATGCTTTCAATGATTTGCATTTGCTATACAAGAATCAACTACTATGAAATGAACATTAAAAGTTTAACTGCACATGTTGGTCCTTATGAGCGTATCATCTTCTGGGGAAAAAAATCTCATATTTGTATAGATACAAGCCAAGTCAGGCCAATTCTTTGTGCTATTAAACTCCTTCTATTTTATTTGCATTATTAAGGAAGCAGTACTTACAACAGAAATTCAAATCAAAGTACACCCAGAAATGAAGCTTTAACAAAATCCATCACAAAAATGGAACAAGAGACTGTTCAGGCTGTGCAAAGCTCTCTAGTAAAGCTGAATTTTACTAAAAAGACTCAAAAATAGAAAGCAATCATTCAATATGTGTAAGTAAAATTGATTTCATAGTTCATTTATTAAAACACGCACATTGAGTATTTATGATCAAATACACTGTATATATTTGTTTCAGATTCATAGACCATACACCCATCGAGTCAAATGTGAAATTTGCAATAAAACTGTAAGTCTTTGATTGCATCACTACGCTTTAAAATCATGCTTTGCCTATCCTAGACAAATCTTAGAGAGAGAGAGGGAGAGTTGACATTGCATATATAAAATATTTCTTAGTAGAATGGCTTGTGTGTTATTTAGCGTCGCACTCTAGAATTTTTCACTGATATGGAGACGCCACCACTTGCCGGTGGATAGCTACACATTTTGTTCTATATTCGGTACTCAGGGCCATTGAGCAGTAAGGGATCTTTTTCCGTGCCAGTGATATCTGCGACATTGGACCTCGGTTTATACGGTCTTCTCCTAAGGACATGTCTTCACGTCCCACAGTGGGATTCGTACCAACGACGCAAGGATCAACTTCGCGACTTTAAATCAGACCTCTTACCAAATACGTTATGCAGGCGACTTGTTGAATGAATATATAAAAATATTCCTTTAGAAAATCATCAAACCATTTGTTTTATCAATTTTTCAGTTAAAATACCATTTCAAAAATAACTTTTGCTAAATTAATTGCTTTTTATCATTTCTTAGGCTATTGCAACTTTTGAAAACTGCAAAGATTCGTATTGCTTGGAATGTCTTCAGTGCGTTGCCGGGACATGTACAACATCTACTATAAAATGTCCGAAGGCTGGAGATTGTTCTTCGTATATTACAGTAGAAACATTCGCCAGATTTTTAAAAATTCCATATACGCTTAATATAGAGGTAAGATAAGCTACTTAACAAATTAATAGGGAAGTTAATGTAATAACTGTTGATTAAGCAGATTGATTGATTGATTGTATATTGTTTAACGTCCCTCTCGAGAATTGTTCACTCATATAGAGACGATTTCTGCCTTCCAAGCTCGCGATCGCCTATAAATAGAGTGTTTTAAACAATCAGACATTGCAAAGTGGAAATACTGAACATATTCATCTCCGCCTACGTAGATTTTATCTATTTGTATGTGGATAAAAACATGATTAACAACTTGCATCTTATGTAGACGGAGCCGAGCTTTTCTTGTGATCAGAAACCAGACGTTATAAAGATGTGCTGGCAAACCACTTATTTGTATCTATGAATATCGAAAAATGTATGACATAGACACAAAAAGTAGTATAATTTACCACTTCTCACATTTTTAAATAAAAAATATCGTATCGAAATGACCAAAGTTGAAACTTAATGTATTATCTTTCTTCACTTCCGTCATAGTGTCACACATGCGCATTAACGGTATATATAATAGTCCTTACATTGAACCCGATTATTATTATGCTTGTGACGCGTGAAAACTTATTTTTGGTCGTCTATGCATTAAATATTTAACTTATAATTCAAACCATACTTATTACTGTTTTATTAATAGCAGTTTAAAATATTCAGAGCATTTTTTACAACCAAATCCTAAAAATATGGATATTGATAAGATTTTTCAAATCCTCATTTTTCAGGGAATATAAAATTTTCTTGTTAGATGCCCGCTGCCCCACATAATTTATATGACATTTAACGAAAAGATTATTGGAAAATAAGATGTTTATTTTTAAAAGAAATATGTCCCTAGAATATCAAGCAGCAATTTATTTTTACTAGTAATGAAGTTCATAATTTTGAGCTAAATATGTTTAATTCACCCTAAAAAGTACAATGAAGTGGATCAGCAGATTTTAAGAAAATACGAGATTGGCAATGAATAGAAAGGCGAGAATTAGAAAATTCGTTGTATATATATATATATATATATATATATATATATATATATATATATATATATATATATATATATATATATATATATATATACAGTGCTGCTATCCCACAAGTTGACATGGGATGGGATCGGATAGGATTCAGGATTGAGGATTCACGATAGAAACATATAGAAGTTAATCCAATCCTATCCTATCCTATCCTATCCTGTATCCTACAGCCAATCAGATTCGAGCAAAGGTTCATTCATATTTCAGAATAAATTACAAAAACGAAATACGATATAAAATGTTTACAAAAGAAATATTTTTAAAATTTCAATAGAAAATAAAACATTTTTTTCTCAAAACACAGATTTACATTATAAACTTCGAGTAACACGGCGTACGATCTAACCGTGAACGATCACCGGAAGATTTGGGAAATCAATGTAAACAACAAAGAGTCTAGACATCGAAAGACCGTATTTCTTCAGCTTGTTTGGATGATTTAACCGATTCTTACTTGTGTAAAAGTGTTCTAACATGTTTTCTGTTAAATATGCTCTGTTTGTTTGGATAATTCCACAGGAACCGTCAACAGCAGACTTGAATAGGTGGTGTGCGAGTTCATGTAAGTATACTGTACACTGTACATGTTTGCATTTTTATACTTATTTATCCCTCAAAACAATGTTCTCATATCTAAAAATATAAACATTTTATTCTATTTAATATAAACAAAAATTAGGTGCTGAAAAAAGAAGTAGTGTAGACAGAATGGGGGATAAAATATTTACAAATACCCCCGTTACTCTGTCATATGATTCAATTAGCTATCAATGAGCTCTAAGACTAAAACAGTCATATGTATTATGTCTTAATCAGTTTATTAATCTTATTATTTCCTTAATTCTTTCATTTCAGTGTAACTTATAATAAATTAATGTAGAATCATCTTGACCATTTCTAATGCTACTGCTGAAATGTTTAATAAGCTCACTCAGCAGTGCACTTACATATTGTACATGTATATATGATGTATTGTGAGTTATGAAACATAAGTTTATCTTTTAATATTCATATTTACAGTGATGGATTTGCCTGCACTCATGCGTCATCATGCGTCATCACAGTATAAATGATTTTAATCTAAAAAGTATGTATGATTTTATTTTTATCATGTATTTTTTTATGGTCATTCAACTATATAAACATCATTATCTGCTTTGAGGTGACATGTCTGCAGGTTCTCGGAACAAGCGATTTTCTTCTTTCAAAAATCTTGAGAGTTAAACTGAAAGAAATGTTGAATTTTTCTGGTCATCATGTTGCTGTTACATAGATATTTTCTTCTTCTTTTACATATTCAAATTTCAAGACCAAAAAAAAAAAAAAGAAAAAGAAAACCAAGAAAAAACATTAAATAGATAAATACAAAGAGAAAATAGAGAAAAGTCACTAAAACAAATGTATTCATACTTTTTAGCAAGTTGACAAGATAAAATGAATTATAATGTACAAGTAAATTATCTTAAATAAGATTTTTTTTCTGAATTTTATATGACTGAGGTTGCAGAATAAGATTTTATGTTTCATGATTTCAAAATGCATTTTTTTTTTAGAGAAAAAGGTGAAATTAAATCCAATTGTACATGAAATGTGAAAGATAATCACAATCAAAAACATTTTAAATGTGTATGAAATGTGTATGACAAAATTTACAATCTACATGCCTATAATTATGTGATTTTTTTTTCAGAAAACCCTGCAGATTTGCAGCTGTGCAGAATGCAGTTTACGCCATATGCTATTAGAGTAAATGATGAAAGATGTTCAAACCAGTGTCAAAGCTTCCTAAGACTGAAATCATAGTGCTTTTATTAAGGAGATCAGTGTATGTTTTCTGTGCATTGTTGACATTTGTGGAACTGTTCAGTTTATGACCATCTCTCTGACAATAAATCTGACATTTGAATTTCAATTTGAGCGTCGAATAAGAAAGCCAAATTATATGCATGTAAAACATTATACAACTGTAATAAAAACATTGATAAACTTAAATTTAAACAAAGTTCATGTACCGGGTACATGTATCTGTGATCTTTGAATTAAAATTCATAAATGCTGTACGTGGATACTTTTAATGACTTTGTCTCATGGTAATGGAATATTCAATTGTTAAACATTGTTGAGGAATCACCTTGAATTGTAGAAGTTCGGGCTTTACGGACTGTGGATATCGGCCTGGATAGCTCAGTGGTTAGAGCACGTGACTTGTAATACAGTGGTCCTGTGTTCGATTCCTGGTCCAGCCATATGTTTTCGTTGTGCATTTCTCCTTTCCTACTACATTTGGTGGCCAGTGTGGGGGGCCTTGTTCAGGTTACATGTATGTGTAAATTAGTAATTCCTGGTAGGGCCCTAGAACTTGTGTCTTCGAGGTCGAAGACTGTTTAAGGAGGGAGGAATGTAGAAGTTCGGGCTTTACGGACCGTGGATATCGGCCTGGATAGCTCAGTGGTTAGAGCACCTGACTAGTAATACAGGGGTCCCGGGTTCGATTCCCGGTCCAGCCATATGTTTTCTTCGTGCATTTCTCCTTTCCTACTACAGAATAAAACTATTGTGTACTTGATAAAGTTTTTTTTTCTCATTTAAACACTGATAATTTTAAGATCCAATGCCAAGGTCAAATACAAACTTGCTTTACTCAAGAATGAGTTATAAATACTGTAAATACTGTGAATTCTGAATTTCTCTTGCATGTTTAATAAGATCTTAGAAACATGTGTGACCTCACTACAATATTTATTAATATTATACTTTCATGTAAATTACTTGAATCTGATTCGTCGAGAAACATTTGATAAAAAACACTACTAGTAACTACCCGCTGAATAATGAAGCCATGCCCTCCTGCGTAGCAACAGTCAACATTGCTTGACGAAGGGTGGTATTACAAAAAATATTGACTGCGAGGAATTTATGCATGCACGGTTCACTGTAATATGTATTTGTATAAAACATTCAGTATAATATAATAAATATTGCATGTAGTTGAGTGTAACATTAAAGATTTTCTTGGGGTGAAAATTTTCAATGTTACACTCAACTACATGCTATATTTATCATGTTTATATACTGTCAATCTGTCAACCAATATCAAATTTAGAAAATAAATTCTATTAAACATAAATTATTAAATTTTCACACATAAAACAAAATAGGAAATTGAAATACATTTGTACGGCACTGAGCTGACCATAAACTGAGAAGAAACTGAAGTTAAATGAAAAAAAAAAACATTTCGATCATCTTGAATTTTATTTAGCAACTATATATTTTGCATGTTTGAAAAATATCACATACAACAGATGATGAACTGAAATTTTTAAAAAAGAAAAAAATATAAATTTAAATGAAAATTAAATTTAATTTAAATTAAAATGTTTAAAATGTGAAAGTCAAAATATTCTAGATCTACATTTTGACTTTGTCTGTTTGGTTTATGGTATAGTCAGATCTTCTTTTTGAGAATTGCATACAGAATTTAACAAAAACCTGTTATGCAGGCACATTTAGACTATAGATACATGTACATGCAAGTTATTTTCATGGTGCTCAGTTTAGAAAAAAAATAAAATTTTACATGAAACATATACTTAAACATTTTTACCGTATAGGCCTATGATTTTTAAAAATAATTAATTATAATGCGTCGGCAGCAAGTCGCGATCCCGGGTCTCCCGATCATTGTTAGTAGGAAAATTAAAACACTAAGTATATTTTTTATTTAATTCTTCTGGTAGCCCAATTTCTTTACATATGTTCGCAAAATCAGTACTTGTCCACGTGTAATTACGACCTGTTTGTTAACATTTATTCTTAACGTGGCAATGATAATCGTAAATTTAATTTGTGCGGCGAGTCGGGAATTATGGAATGCCGATCTCGATTTTTTTTTTCCATTAAAATTTATAACATTTAAATGAATACCATAACTATGTCTGATTTTTTTCCTGGTAATTCCCTTTTTTTTCGTTTTGTCAAATTAATTCCTAAATATTAAAAAACTGAGAGTTGCAGGATAGGATAGGATAGGATTAGACTGAAATCATAGGATAGGATTGTGGATGCAGGATTCACGATAGGATAGGATAGAATTGTCAACTTATAGGATAGCAGCACTGTATATTGTTTTCTTTATTTAGATGCCACTGTATTTTGAAGTTTCTCCCGGAAAATGCATGTGTAGTGGGTGCTATAATGAGGTAAAGTTTACAGCAATGTGAAGGTTTTAATAGATTTTACCTTTTTTAGAACCCTGCATGAGCTGATTGAATGTTCAAGTGAGCTTTTCTGATGGAAATTTATCCGTTGTTTGTCATCGTCATCGTTGGCATCGGTGTCGGGCACTTTGAAAATTTTCATATTCTCAAGAACCACTTAGTCAATTAAACTTGCCAAAAGTGTTCTTGGATAAATAAATTCAAGTGTGTTCAAAGCCCAAGCCTTCTTCCACAGAGAATGAAACATATGGTAATAACGAACAGTATTCAAGATTAAAAGTCCATATAACAATATTGTTGTGTAGTTCTTTTGGATTTTGTGCAGGTTGTAGAGAAAACGATAACCCATGGAATAAAGAAAACATATGATTGCGCCCATGACAAAAGGGCCTTATGGCATTTTTGCTAAAACAGAGAAATAACGTCATAAAGATGTGACGTTGCAGACTGACGGTGAACTTCGACGCAGAATTTTTTTAACCACGTGTTTTGACGTTTGACGCATCGAGAGTTTTTATTGCTGTTTCCAACATGTGGAATTTATTTTCATTGATAAATTAATTTAATCAATATCCGAATCTCTCAATCCAATGATTTTAATAGATATAAATAAAAACATTTAGAACTGGTTTCTTCATAAACAAATATATCTAGATCTATTATTCGTCTCTGATAGCAATAGTTTTCCTACATGTATAAAATTAGGCTGTCATCTTCGCCGAAGATGAGAAGCTGTCGACAAGGTGCTTTTCTGATTGGATTATAAATCAACCTCTATAATCTAAATAGATAAATTTTATTGACATATTTATACTAGATTTAGGATACATGTTAGACAGGGGTATATTGTTAAAATATTGCAAAGGAAAATTGTCTTCATTTTTTGAGATCCGCTCCACCACTCTCGCTATCGCGTCGATCACATGTAAACATTGATCCAGACAGAGACAGATAGACAGAACATTGATTCATCGGTGCATACTGCTTAATCTTTTGTTAAATTGTTTGTACTAATGTTGAAACTAAGCATAAATCTTCTACGTTTTTACAAATTTAGCAATAATGTGTAAGAATGTCAAGATTTTTGTATTTTCTATAAATAAAAAATAGGAGAGATAACTCTGATGTCAACAATCGATGTAACAGGGGTACCAGAGAGGGACTGTCATTCGCATGAATTTGCTTCCGGATTAGAAAAGAGATATAAACACTTTTAATTGTCAGCATAATTTTGATTTTTTAAATAAGAAATATTGTTGTACTTTGGGAACAAGGTCCCATTAATGTTAAAAAGGAAAAACAAAGAAAAAAAAAAGGAGAACTATAGCATTGAACAAACGTACATTAATTTTTTTAAAAAATCTTTCATCTATAGTTTTTTTGCATGAAATAATTTAATAACGAATTTCATTTCTGAAAAAAATATACATGTATAGTATCTACGGTTTCATGAATCATGATGAAATAAATTAAACTTTAAAACGTTGTTTTGTCTTAATTATTTTCTTGTTGCACTAAGACACTTCAAGCAAAATGAAACAAAACATGTTCTAAATGTACTAACTTAAATAGAGCTGGTCAAGTTAATCTGATGAGAGAGAGAGAGAGAGAGAGAGAGAGAGAGAATAGAGGGTATAGATAAAAATATTTATATTGAATCTATTTATCTTATATTGAGAAATGTGGAACTCTGTTGAAAAAGATGAGTTTTCAAAACAAACAAAATCATAAAATACTGTAAAATGGAAGAAAAAATCTTTTTTGTCATTTAAACTACATGTATGGGTATTAATTTTCAAGATCTACAAACTTAATATACATGTAACTCTTAGGTACTTAACGTGTTGTTGTTTTTTATACAGAGTTCAAATGTTTTAAGCATAATAGATAAAATATAAATAAATCCCTGAAGCCATGAAGAACTTTGTCTTTCACAAAAGATCGATCAGCATTGAATGTCTTTTAACAGATCACTTAACATGCTATAAAGTTGAAAACCCATTTCATCACTGGACTTAAAATCTCATTGCACTTATCAGTGTAAAATATATTGTTTAACATGCCATCAAATTATGGATAAATGTCATTATACATGTATAAGCACATTTAATGATTTTATTTGTTTTGATTGACAAAAAAACCGTTATAAGTTCAGGGTCGAGTTTTATTTCTTCATGTAAATGCTGACATAAAATAAAATTCAATGCTGAAAATACACGACATAAAACCGCAACGGCATGCTTGCATTTTGTTTTATTTTGGCCGTAGTGCAGGGGATGGGGTGTCCGTTTATATTTCCGTAATATGTAAGGCTTTACAATGCTTAGCATATCAAAGCTTCTGGCACGGGAACAGAATGGAATTCATACTATTCATACTCTGTAAAATTCACATCATAAAATAAAATAAGAAAATAAAATCACTGGAATGAAGGGGAATTTTTTTAAATTAAGTTATAAAATAATATGATGAATTTTTTAAGATGCTTACATCTCTACAAAAATCTGACATTTCAACACTCAGCCAGTTCACAGACAATTGTCAGGAAAAATATATCATACAAAACAGTAACTGACTTTATATTTAGGTATGGACAATTACATGTTATTAATTTTTCACCCACCCCTACCCCTACAAAATTTATACATTAAAATGCACGATTCAAAAAATTACAGGATAAAGTTATTCATTTGTCTACTGGATATATTTTTTGAAATTAATGAGAAAAAAACAACGAAACAATTTTGTTCGAAATTCTTTTTCAAAAATTATGTAAATGATTTCTTTGATTTAATTCTATTGGTATGCTTCTAAAACCATCCAATTAAAAAAAAATCAAAGTATTCAGAAGTACAGAGACCCGGGCTCATTTACAGAGGAAAATGAATTTCTTACATGAATCGTACGATTATATTGTATTAACAGATAAAAAAAAAACAAGAATATCAGATTAAATGAAAAATTATTTTAAAACTATCAACATAAATGATAAGACACTGACAGTGAGTTTTCGATCCTAATACCAAGGTCCGATTTTGTCAGAATTAATCTGGTACCACAACTGAACGTAAACAAACATGCCAGTTTGGTTCCCTCTCCTGCTTTACCTCGATCGTTAGTGTAGAGAACTACGATAACACTGATTATCAGAAATTCTTACGCTAATAAACTCTGTTCTTTGACGTAAGACTGAATTTTTCAAAGTCATTACTACTATCTAATATTCATTTAATATTTAGATAAAACTTCGTTTTATTTTTGTTGCTTTATTTAAGGTTTGTAAATATCTCAAAAGCTGTTGAGAGTAAGAACAATATTTTTACACGTAACTTTAAAATGGCGACTATGGGGTTGAATTCCTGTCTTGAACAGGATGACATAAGCCGGCAATTGCTCTTTGAGCTATAAGCCCAGCTAAAAACAAGATTTTGTTAATTTAGGGTGTCATTATATACATGATAAACAAAACTGAATTCATAGCAATTCAGTTCCAGGTTCGCAGTGCTCATGATCGCTGTGCTTTTTTAAAAATGGCAATGTTCAGAATTAAAGGTACAAATATAAAATGAAGAATACCCGGTTATATGTATGCAGTATTATTTCAAACCTAAATAAAAAAGTGAATTTACAAGTTGTAGGGTTAATGGTATTGGGTGTAGGAGAGACACCCATTGTGCACCTAAAACTTGGGAAGTAAAAAAAATATATTTATTTTAACTTGTGTTCACAAAAATTGTAAGTTTCTGTCATTTAGATTTTTACCCCCCCCCTCCTCAGCAACACACACATAATCCTACCAATATTAATTCTGAGTCTATCTATTGTGTAAATGAATGCAGATTATAAATCATTCATTTGCTTATAAAATGTCCACCTTTTTGATTGGTAAAGATTAAACTATTTTTACTACTAGGCTGAAAAATATTTCGTGTATCCTTTATATTTTTCAAACAGCAGTGTCATTTTTAACCCTATGCAGACAGACAACCTTAAGATGCAGTGAATCAACCGAATTTCCTTTGTATTCACTGTCTATTGTATATCGTAAAAAACATGATATCACACTTCACAGTTTTTCTGTCTTTATATAAAATTTAGAAAAAAGAACGATCAAATAAATTTTCACTTCGCAGTAGCATTTAGGTAGCGTATTGTTGTTCCAGATATATTTTTTTTAATTTATTTTCACATGTATGGTAACTGGAGATACATCGTTTTATGCTGAATTCAGGCAAAAAAGTTACATATATTGACCTATCGAGAGCAATGTTTAAATTAGAATAATGAATTATGCAGGCTTATCAAATGACTCTTGCATGTAGTAAATATTTTGTTTGAGAAAATAATTGTTTAAAAAAAATGAATGGATGTCGCCCGCTGTTCAGGTCTCCTCCTGTCAGAGAAAAGTGAAATGTAAAACAAGCAGTCACTCACTATTCTACACTGATGAATCTATAATATATTATATATAACTTTTAAATACTTATTAATAATTAAAACAGACAATGAGATTAAAATAATGTGCATGGGTAAATATTCAATATTATACAACTATTAATTACCGTAGTAAATTGCAGAAGAAAATCATTTTACGTTCACTCTAAAAACGTTTGACGTTGTTGAAAAATATTACGTCATTATGAACCTAATAAAGTATCTTAGATTAAAATGAAGCAAAAACCTACTTAGAGTAGACGTGGGACCATAACAAGAGACCCATGGGCCTTATAGGTCACCTGAGCACCATGCAACAACTTTCAAATGATTGAATTTGGTTCATGTTTTAAGCTAGATGCTATGGCATTCAAAATTCTGAAAGAGGCACCATTGCTAATCATAATTATACACTTAGCAATTGTTTAGTTTGTTTACTTAATATGGATAAGCAGGGTAGGGGAACAAAAAAGTATGTCAACTAATCAGTAATATTCAGCAATAATCAGGAGTGCTCCCACCACATATGAACCCCTGACCCTAGGTCTATACATTGCACAATTTTTGAAAAGGCACACTTGCTTATCAAAAATGTTTGATTAATACCAAGGAGCAGATTTCAAACAATTCTTTTTCAGAATATAAGTATAGCCCCCCTCCCCATTTTGGTATCTCAGACCCAGGGGCCTTGAAATTCACAATTCTGGAAATAGAGCCGATCCCATCATAACTATGTTAATAGTTTTATTCTGCTTATTACCCAGGAGTAGAGAAAAAGATTTTCATAGATGTAATGTATTTTCATCATATAATCATTAGAGCCACATCCTAACACCATAACCCCTGACCCTGGGGCCATAAAATTCACAATTTAAGGTAGAAGCATTCTTGCTCATCATAACTATGTCCTTAATTAGATTATTCAATAATCAGAAGCAGAGAAGAAGATTTTCAGAGATTTAATGCATTTCACTATATAATCAATTGAGCCCCGCCCTAACACCAGAACTGCTGACCCTAGGGCCATGAATTTCACAATTTTGGTAGAGGCACTCTTGCTCATCATAATTATGTATTTAGTAAGTTTATCAAATACTCAGGAACAGAGAAGAAGATTTTCAAAGATTTAATTCATTTTCTCTATATAATCAATAGAGCCCCACCTTAACACCATAACCCCTGACCCTGGGGCCATAAAATTCACAATTTTGGTAGAGGCACTCTTGCTCATCATAACTATGAACTTACTTAGTTTATTTAATACCCAGGAGCAGAGAAGAAGATTTTCAAAGAATTAATGCATTTTCACTATATAATCAATAGAGCCCCGCCCTAACACCAGAACCCCTGACCCTGGGGCCATGAATTTCACAATTTTGGTAGAGGACTCAATGCTGATTACAATCATACCAACAGTTTGACTGCTTGATGTCTGGGAGTAAAGAAGAAGATTTTTAAAGATTGCACTAATTTTAGTGGTGTTTGCTCCACCCCCCAGGCCCCAGGGGGGCAGGGACCACGAAATTCACAACTTTTGTTCCCCTTCACCCGTAGATGCTATATGCCAAAATTGGTTGAAATTGGTTCAGTGGTTTCAGAGAAGAAGCTGAAAATGTTTAAATGTTAACGCACGACGCACGACGCACGACGGACGACGACGGACAAAAACGGATAGCAATAGGTCACCTGAGTTTACTCAGGTGACCTAAAAATTCATATTTGACAATTTCTAACCTTACTTTTTCAAAATCCGTGAAAAACTCAAAATGTATAAAAATTGCCATAAGGGCCCTTTTCCCATGGGCGCAATCATATTAATTTATTGAAATTTAAAAAAGAATATCAGAACAACACACTCTCAAGCGCCCTTCTCACAAAGAAACAAATTTAACCAAAATACAAACCAGATAATATTAACAATGAAATAAAGACGTAACTTTAAAAACAATCAATTGTCAATAAAATCATATGTTGGTTTAAGAACATAAAATATAACTTTACTTGAAAAATTAAAACTATATTAAGTTTCCGCAGAAAAGAAAAATCACTTTTAAAGGTCTCATTTAATTCATATCAAAACCCACACAATATCTACAAAAGAAAATAGCTAACTGACTGCAGAAAAAATGTCCATGCAGTAAAATGAACGACTCTTTGGCTACCCGTTTACCAGCCTAACTTTTAGAATTCGCCATGGAAATTCGACAACAGGACTAAAATCAATAAGTGGCTGCACACTTGACAAACAGCCACCACACTCACTGACCAAACCAGTTACTTTCAAAATGGCCCCATTTGCGAACACTCTCCACTATGGAACCAAATAAAGGATATAATTACATCAATTTACATTTGAAAGAACAAAAACAATAAGCAAAATAATTCAATTTCAGACAATTGTGCGCCTTGTCATGATCGAGAAATATTGTAAAATCAGTCGTCAATTCTAATTAACAGATTAGGAAAATCTTTAATAGCATTCTTTTCAAAGACAGCAAAGCTGTTATTGATGATATAAACATGTATACGGAAGCATCCTCAGGCAGTTTAGATTAAGATTGTTCAAATCATGATCCCTTGGGGAGGTTCGGGCGAAAAAGGGTGATGAAATTTTCATTAAGGAAGCACTGGCAAAATATTTAAAAATCTTATTCTATAGAAAAGCAAAGCTTTGATTTGTTATATTTGTACCTTTCGATACTAAACTGATTAGTGCCCATGAGAGCAATGCGACCAATGGCCGGGGTCCTTGTAATATAATGTTACTGTTAGTTTAAGAAATGTAGATTTGGTACACTTTTACATTGAAAACAGTGTTTTTGTTGGGTTAACTTTTCATGGTTTTTGAAGTATGAAGAGACCCGTCCTCCAAGAAATGTTAAGTTTCATAGATATTACTACTAAACAATTCTTAATCCATAAAATTTTAAATTCGCACGAACAAATATTTTCTCCTCAAACAAACCAAAAAAAATTGACCCCTCAAAAATATGTGATTTAACAGTATTCTAGATTTCTTTTTCGCTTATAGGATACGTTGTTCCTTTATTGTCCTCAAAATATTGCATTTTTATTTAAAACTTCCCAAAAATGTTTATCAAGGCTAAATACTTAAGAAAGAAACCAACTTCGTTAGTAAAAAAACGAAGAAAAGTTTTAAAACAATATTTAAGTGAATTAATGGAATTTAGTTAACTATAAAACTTGTATTCTGAACATAAATTTCTGTCGTCTTTGTTTTCCTTTAAAGTTACTCTTATTAAAACTATTTTTGAAATGCCCTGTGATCGTCTAGTCAGAATGTAAATTAGAGTACGTGGTCATAGAAATGTGGATCCACACGATGTATTTGTATATTGGTTCTTGTCTTATATAAAGCTTGTTGTCATTAAATCTTATATTTGGTTCAACATTTTCAGTTCATACAAGTAAGATGTGCTACTATACTTAATAGGGTGTAATAAAAATGACCAATTGTTTCCATTCCTTGTGCTTGCCATGTCTTCGGAAATGCAGTATAATGACAAAATGCCTCGGGTTCGCTTGTGTAAATAAAGAGATTCCACCCCAAAGATATTTTCAGTACTTGGAATCAGCCTTAGATGATAAAAAGGTAGATATTTAACACACATATATGCAAGTAAATAATGTTGTCTTTTTTTGTGAAAAATATTCTAATATACATGTATTAAGTTCTATCATACCCTTGATACCATTTTAAATTTCAGATGTATATGCGCAATTTTGGTCACCTCTATCTTGGAGTCATTCATTCTCACTTTCTAGTATTGGTGAATGCTATGAAGAGTAGTTGATTCTCAGTGTGACAACGAAACTCGTTTATATTTTTGAAATTAAAACACTGTCATGGAGTAGTCGTTGTCAAGATCAAATCACAAACTATATAGAATATGCCTTGCCAAACTTCCATTATGAAACACCTATCTATACTGAAATTATTTTCAGCAACCTGCCTTTTTACTTGATGTGAAGACAATGTACCCTGTGGATTGTCGAACAGAAATTACCAAATGCTCTACGTGCATTGAGAAGGTATTAATGCTAAGATTTAAAAAAATAAAAATGAAGAAATGGGTACCAACATATTTATATTTTTTGTCGGTCTTAGGTATTTGACCCTATATACCACTTTATGTACATAAACATTAACTCATAAGGAAAATGTACTAACAGCATGTATGTTTTTCGAAAGAAAAAGCCCTAACAGACAATTTATTTGTATTCTTTACAGGCGAGCTTTGAGATAATCCGTTGTACGCATAAGTTTTGTGACCGATGTTATGGAAGGAGTCAATCGATATGTGGTGTGTCATTTCTCATCAGAAAATGTGCCGTTAATGGATGTCATGAATTGTACCCGTTTCCCTGCGAGCAAACAAAACGTTTGAAGAATGTGGAACAGTCTGAAGAAATTGTACGTATACTGCTGGTTTTTTGGTATAAAAAGATATATAATTCAATAAAATGTGTTATCCTACTGTGCCCTCTTTTAAGAGATTAAAAAAATGGTAGACTTAGAAAATTCATTTCGGAAATATATACATACTTAGAATACATACATATTTTTATAAAAGCTACATCAATAAAGAATATTAAAAGTGCAAATTTTAACTATTTCGTGTACAAATCTTTGCGTATTTTTCAACACATTCCATTACATTACCAAATTAAATCATATATTACGTATATATTTAATCGAATTCTGGAGCCAGTCCCATAGTTAATTTGAACATTTTATCCAGAAATATATTGCTTTCTCCTGAAAAAATGACCTTTTCCATAATTTCTTTCTTTTCATTTCAGTTATATGAAAGAGATGGAACAGCCAGTAAGTTCAAGTATTTTTCATAAAATATCATGCATGTATCAGGTATCAATTGAATTAATGCGGAATGAAATAAAAATGCAAACATTAATAAATTGTTTAAATATACATGTACATACATGTATGCATATATTTTTGCACGTTAATTTATTGTATTTTTTGCTTACAATGCGTATTTTATTCCATGTAAGTTAATGCTTCTGGAAAACAAAAAAAGCTGTATGTCTTGTTGTCCTTGTTGATAAAATAATTATTCAGACTAAAAATCACATTAATATACATGGACATCAATTCTTATCAGCTGATCTCGGCCAAAAGTACTCAACTAAGATTTTCTGATCATCATAATTCAGAATAGTACTTTAGAAAGTAATTTCATCAACACGTGCTTTTTGCTTCCTTTTCGGTTTAATTGAAATTCTGTTACTGTTATTTAAGACGTAAGAATAAGAACCAGGGCTCAAGACCATAAACTGAGAATAGACTTGAGTCAAATTTTCTAATCAGTATAACTTTTGAAAAAAAAATTCATAATGAAACAAAATTTCAATTTATGTTTGTATTCAAATATTGAATAAATTTCAAAGTTTTAAACCATTTTCGTTAAGAAATAATTAAATTATTCAAAAATCTAAATTTTAACTTAAGTCCATTCTCAGTTTATGGTCTTGGGGCCAGATATTAATTTTATAAAGATAAGTAAAAAGTTCAATACGTAAGTGATTTTTTGGGGTTATATTTTGTAAAAGACATATATAGGGATTTGTCATATATTTTCTGTAGTGCTATAGCAGCATTGCAGCTCTGTCATCCCGAGAAAAAAATACAAGTTTAATTTAAAAACTATGCCTGTGTAATTACCAGAAAAAAAACCTGTAAGAGAATCATCGTGCACTTACGACAAGTCTTCGATTCTAGAACTTTTCCCAATAGGCAAATCTTATACTGATGTTCAGTGAATCTCGAAATATATGCATTTGATAATTATTCTTGTAAAATTTATTTTGATTTCTTTTTTTTTTTTTACAGAAAGTTCGGATATACCTGATGAGAGAAAGAACACTAATATCATCAAACGAGTGTTGGTAAGATAGTTCTTTTCCCGTAAAAGACAATGAGAGATGCAAAATATAGTTTTAAATTGTATTAATATTTTTTCAATTCTTTCGTACTTTGAACTTTTCTTTGCTGGCAAAATTGTTAACTATAAAACATTTTGATATCTTAAACAGTGCATAAAACTCTCTTATACATGTATCCACTTTATTTGATAAAATTAAATTGAAGGCAAATTCTTCATATGGAACATCGAAAGGACTAAGCAACATAGCATTTTCCTGCTATCGAAATAGTATTTTACAGGTATGCTGAAAAATATAAATATTGGATAATATTTTTCCTACATTGCAAAAATATACATTAAATTTTAAATTGTTCTTTTTATCTCTTCTGGTCAGAGACCAAAAGGGCTTATGCATAAGTAAGGTGCTCGTCGTCCGACCGTCTGTCTGTCTAGCTCCCTGTCTGTCTAAGTAAGGACTTGATCCTTACGTTGTGGGTTTGAATCCAACTGAGGGACGTAGAGACCGGTCTTTAAGATAAGACCCTTTAAACCGAGGTGCCATGTGGCAGCAGGTGCTGGCACGAAAAAGATCCCACACTGCTCAATGGCAATAAGTGCCAATCACAAGTAAAACACTTACGTCTCTTCACCGGCAAATGGTGGCATATCCATATGTGTGAAAAATGATTGAGAGGGACGTCAAACAACAAGAGAAGCTACTCCTCCTACAGTTTGGTTTTATTGACACACATTCAACAAGACTACATTAGCATACGTACATGTAATTCTATTCTGTTGCAAAGTTTCAAGTCCAAGTTTTTTACTTTTCTCTACCTTTCTTATATGTTCAAATCAGAAGCGTCTGGATATACTTGTTGTTGGGTTTTTTTTGTACGAAAAGAAACCAGCTTAGGTTTCTATGATTACTTTCTAAGTCGATGTTATATATTTGTAACTTTCAGATCCTTTCGGAAACCCCCAGATTTTTCGAATGGTTACTCGACATGTGTAAAACAAAGGTACTTATTTGATTTTTTCCCCTTACACTAAACAGCAAATTTCACTATCATTTCAATACAAATTCCCGAAATAATTCCGTCAGTTTGTGGTTAGATATGATATTATCCAGCGATCGTTTTGGTTCTCTACAAAAGAAATATGTATTTAAAAAAACACAATTAAATAGTGGTAATTAAAATCATATTCAACCACAATATGTTTAAAGATTCCATTTATCTAATTCATTTTATTTTATCTATTCAACGCAAAAAAATAAATAAATGAAATAATAATGTAATGCATTTTTTTTTTAATTTTGTCTGTTTCAGAATAAAAGCTGGGTATTTCTTCTGAAAGAAATATTAGTGTGTATACGAAGTCAGACAACTGGTGGCAGAGAGATGCTTGAACTTTTGCGTCATTTTCACCATCTATTCAACATAGCGTTAGTATATATATGCATGTCATATATTATACCTTATTATATTATATATTTTTATATTATACCTGAGAAGCATGTGTTAATTTGAATGTAGGAAGGGAAATACTTGTGCTTTTAATTATTTTAAAGCAATTCAGGATACAGAGAGTATCAACAGGAGGACACACTTTCCTTTCTGACAACTGTGTTGAATGGAATAAATGATGAATATGAAAAAGAAGGAAAAGGTATAATTATGAAATCTCTTGTCCACAATTTAAAAAGAAACAAGGATACTAACGCTTAAAATTATCTGACAACAAATACTTCAAAATAGATCTAAAATTTGAATTTTATTTCGAGGAAAATTATCCTTTCAAGCACTGGAATATGATTCAAGAATCTTTCAATTCCTAAAAATGGTCCTCATACAAGTTGATATTTGAGACCCATATAACTTTGGAAAACAATCCATTTAAGAACAGATGATACAACAAACTTGTGTCAAATCTTGAAAATAAAAACTTGGGTCATGTTTGAATGAGTAAAATGAATAAGTTGCACCGCGTAGTTTTTGTTTATTTATTCAAAGTTTTGCAAAAAAAGGATTTGATTGAAAAATATTTCTATATATTAATAAGGATGGTTTAAGTTAGGCAGACTTTTAAACATCACGAAAGGTTTTAAATTTCTTTATATTCTAGAAATTTATTATTGCTATTTGCATCATTTGCAATGACATTATTTCAATAAAATATATACTGATCCATTTATTCATTTTTTGTATGTATCATCTGTCCTTAAAAGTAACAGAATCTTGATAAAATTATCCTTGGATTCAATGATAATTCACATGATATGAAATTACAGGTAATATGTTATACATTGTATCTGTTTTGATAGGGCACGATTTTTCACACAAAGTACTGTTTACATTGTATCGAAATAAAAGGAAGAACGAAAGTGCCATCAAGTAAAAAATGACATTTTCTCCTAATGTCTCGATAACTATTGTTTTCTTAGCCTCTAAATATGTTAATCAATTTACAATTAGAAATCCTTTTATTTGTGTTATCTTACAATATATTTGAGATTCCATAATTTCTTCTTTAAATATCGTGAACTATAAGGATAAACTCTGAAAATTTATCATGAGTAAATGTACGTAATTGTAGGAATTTAGAGCGCGTTTATTAGCAAACCTTATGATCGGTTCAGCTCAATGAACACTCATCCCCATTTGTTTTAATGGAGAATCCACGTCTCCTGACAACAATAATTTACGTACACATAACTAGAAACTTTCGTATGAACAAACTGCATGGTTATGTCCTGTCTGTATGTTTATCAGTCGAAACTGTTATTTGTTGCGATGATTGCAATTTAACTTAGAAAGCATCGGATCGATGGATCGAAGATAAGGTCTTGAAATAAAGAGGATCATCTATTAGTTTTTGTTTTAGAAAGAGATGGCCAAAGGTCTAGAATACTGGATTAACATCTGAGATATATGATATTTTAACGACATAAATGTACATTAATATACGTGTCTCAAGTTTTACATTGAAGATGATTGGAAATTCGAAACATCTGATTCCTGTGTCAGTTTCCATTAGGTCATGTTAAAACTGAAATCGACATTATAATTATAGTTTATACATGTTTCATTCTTCAGTGATATGTATTTTTAGGCAAAGCAGCAGTAAACATATTGAAGACATTTGTTCAAAGCCACAAGAAAAAGCTAGGATTTATTACTATAAATATACTACAAATCCTTGTATGACTTTATCACAGCTTCTATCATGTTCCTTCCAATATGCATACTTACAATTATATTGTGCAAAAATGCACTTATATTTCAGCTACTGCCTCTTTCGTTTCTAGGATACCAACAGATGAAAAACCCACTGAACGTATTTAAAGGACAGTTGCTTGACAAATTTTGCTGTAAAGATTGCAAACAGGTATGAGTTTTTTTTAGTTAATTGTTACTACATCAGATGGTGCATACAATATATGCAACGATTATAAATAGATATTTACTAGTTAAATAGCTAAATTGTTAAAATGTACTTACTAAATAAGTGTTAATAAGTATAATTCATTTTCTACAGGAAGAGAGTTTCAGTGAGAGTGATTTTCTTAGTTTGCCATTACCAAAGGTAAATGACAAAAATATGCAGATAACTTATTCTGATATATAGTGCAGCAAACAATTGCTCTAATTAACACTATTTTGAACATGGTTAATAGGAAGCAAATGTTGAACAGAGTTTGTTAGGGTTCCTTGAGGAGGAAGAAATGGATATTTTTCCTTGTTCCAATTGTGGTAAATATGTCCTTTCGTTTTTTGTTTGTTTTCATTTTGAATCTTTTGTGGTTATTTTCTTTAATTTCAGTGGTAAGTAACGGGAGGTTAAAATATCATCAGAACGGTTTTTAATCTTTAATTTATTCCATATGAATTACTTACCCTTTTTAGGTTCAACACGTGTTTGTAAGCGACTAGAAATCAGTAGATATCCAGATGTTCTTGTTTTACAACTGAATAAGTCAGCTGATGTGAGTATGTAATGTAATAGAAAAATTTGGCATCATATTTATGTTCTCATTTACTCTTTACATTACAGTCATTTTATTATTTTACTCCCTACCCGAAATATCAAGAATAATCGAATAAAAAAATCCTCTAAATGCGTTTTGTAAGGAGTTTAATAAATGTAAACATTTCAGTTGGGATTGACTGCTTCAGGACTTTGTATCACTTATTCATGTAATGAACCTCTATTTTTGCTGTGTTTTCAATCAATGCGATGAATAAGGCACATTTGAAGTACAATATTCACTTTAGGTTGTTGGCTCATTTAAACTTATATTTTTCTAGTGGCTAAATCATCGTATTACTTGTACCGGTATGTCTGAACAAATTCTTTGTGAAGTAAGTTGACCTCTGTAACACTCGATATATGTTTTAGTCTACAGGTTGGAGAACAAGTAAGACGATTTTTCACGAAACACTGAAGGAATCCCTGGATATTGATGTTTTTAAGGTAATGTGTCAATAGAATTAAGAATAAAATACATCGTTCAATTTTAGTTAAATGCATGGTTATAAAAACTTGATTATTTATACTTTATACATGTATTTCTTTTCAAAAAATAAACTGTGATCAGTGACAATATCTTTTTAAAGAAGATCAAAAAAGAAGACATTGACTCCTACAAATTGTATGGAGTTGTTGTGCATCACGGAAGTGATAGCAGTGGACATTATATTTGCTATGTAAGAAGACGGCACACGTCCATGTTCGATAAATGCGATGACTCCTTTGTTTCTCAAGTTCGGGTGCAGGATGTTTTACAAAGCGACGCCTATTTGCTGTTTTATGAGAAGTGCGACTCTGCAGTTTAAATTTTGATTGTAACTCATTGACTGTGTTTTACCTTTCTGTTTTATATCTTGTTTTAAGAATGAAAACACCAGTTGTTCATTTGCGTTAGTGTATCAGATGTGTTTTGCCCTTTTTTGTCTATTAAGAGAAAAACACGGAGATAACAAAAAAAAAAAAAAAAAAAAAAAAAAAAACAAAAACAAACAAAAAAAAAACAAAAAACAGAAAAACAGAAAAAAGTTAAGAAAACTTCAAATGTTAGCAGTCATGCTCTTTAGATCTTAATAAAAATCTTAAGTCTTAAAAATGCGTATATATTTCTGAATAATAAACAATATTAACACAAGCATTTTTTTAATGGAATTCTGCATTTCATTGATAATGATTTTATTACATAATTCATTCTTGTTTAAAATCAGAATGTGAAAGCGTGAATCTCTGAGAGCATGTAAGCATAACTTGTGTTACTAAGTTTATCACTTTTTGAAAATAAAGAAGGAAAATATTTATCAATTCCTGTAGGAATCATTGTTACTTCAACGCTTATTTCTACTTAAAATATTTTGTCCTGTATTGCTCAAACATATATATATTAACCGAATATTCCAATATTCATGTTCATACTATACATATTAAGAATACTGTAAACAAGTTATTAATCAAGTGCGAGACATATTCGCGATACAAGCATGCCTCGTCGAATATATCTCGCTGCAAACCGGTCCTTAAAATCTCTGTGTCTAAAAACAGATCCAAAGAGGATTGATCTCGAAAATCAATCGTCTCAAACTAGTCTACCCCAAAATCGTTAAACAAAGTCGCGAATACAAGTTGGTTTATAGTATACTACTTCTAAAATTAAATAGTTTATATAAAGGTTTATCATCAATTGCGAACAATAATTCGTTGTGTATGCTTTTATCTTTTTTTTTTTTTGAGCCAAGTGGACTTTTTTTCTCACATTTTGACCGACATCCGTCTTTCTGTATTGCTGTCTATCCGTCTGTATTCTCAATAGCCACTAGGCAAAACGAAGGGCTACACATCTACATCCAAATATTGTTATGAACAAAAATGTCATTTACACATCAATCATCTTTAATTCGGCCGTTTATTATGAAAAATATATATAGCAATATTATGCAACTGCACCATGTAATTTTAGCTTATTCATTCCATTTAGAATAAAAATATACCGAATTAAATTTGAAAAATTCATTTGCATTAGACAATCAAACCTGCACATGTATGATGATATAAAATTTATAAGCACCGTTTTTTTCTGAAATCTAAAACTATCAAAACCAGCCTTTTCATTTAAATATTGAAAAGGAGAACAAATTTAAACTAAAAGCCCTTTAAAATCGGAATTCAAAATAAATATGATTATATTAATATGAGATTCACTGCTCCTTTAAAATGTTCCATAAAAATAATAGACTTGTGTTTAAAGCTTTTTTTACAATTTATAAAATAGCAGATAGGCATCACTAGACCCCAAAGCTTCCGACAAACTCGAACTTCGTACTTGACTGTCATTACAACTGTACCATTGGCCTCCGTCAAGATTCGATAGATGTTTCACATATGCCGTATAATGGCCACCGTATGTTGAGCCATGGTGATTAACAACTCCATACAGATGATATGTTGCAGGCCTTCCACTCTGAAATTAAGAAAAGGTCAACCTACTGTCCATCAAATTGAATTCTTGTGCTTGACATTTTAAGATTTTTAAAACTTTCTACTACTATGTATTTGTGCAAAGTCTGCTACAACTTGTCCCCTTGGATAAACTGAATTACAAAGGCTGTTCAATAAATAATGTCCACGGTGCCCGGAAAGAAACAAAAAGCGCTTTTAAATGATTTACCCTTAATGATTTCACTTAAAAACTCTCTTTTAAATAAAACACATGTTCGCTGCATTTTTATCCAATTTATGATTGTTTTTAGAATAAATTTTTGAGAATGGCTCTTCGTATACTGGAATGTGGCAGATCCTATGATTTCCTGACCTTGTTCCTTCGTTCTTAAAGATGTTTTTTTTTTCAAGTTTAGAAAATGAAACAAATCAAATGATGAAAGATCTGGCGAATATTGTTGATGTGACAAAACATTACATTTTGTTTTTCCCAAAAACTCCAATTTACTCTTTATAATGTGTGGGTTTGGACGCTGTAAAAAAAATGTCGTGAATTCTTGAATCTAGTTCAATCCTCTCATAAACCTTCCGAATTTTTGCAAAAGAATTGCTTTTTAGACTTTTGCAGATATTGAACTGCCTCCCGAATAAGAATTGAACAAAGAGATTACTAATTTTTAAGGAAATGGCATATAAAAATGTTTTGCGCTTTTGCAATTCTTTGCTCTTCTCAGACCTTGGCTGATTTTTTCAAGTGCATCTTATTGTCAATTTTATATGAGGGTTTAAAGCATTGGATTCACGTTTCAATATCTGTTTGAATTTCAAACAAATATCTACATTTTTCTTTTTTTGATAACAATTTTTTTAAAAAATAATAACAGTACATTGGTTGTGGTATGTCTTTGTCGCTAATGACAGTACCCATTTTTGATGCCCATTATATCATATGTATTTATTGAAATCCACTTGCTGATGTTTCCATAAAACAAACATTGGTTGTTTTAAATTTCACATATTTCAGTATATATTTCTTTGGATCTTTAACGAGTTTAACAGCAGCTTTCATGAAGCGTTTATTTTCACTCTAGTTTGCTAATTCTTTATCATTCTTTTATAATGCATTGTCTCGAATAGCCCTTATTTTTCAGCTTCTCACAATGAAACTATGTGTATAAAAGTGGTCACATATTCATATCACATAGATTCAATCATGGGAGAAAGTCAGGCTTAATGTCATATGATTTCTATTTTGTATGCTATGGAGGCCAGCTTATTATTTATTGAACATCCCTCGTACATGTCACTAGTTTCATCAGTAGATAATGAATGATAGGTATTGTAGTTTTGTATTTGTTTATCATATTTGTTTAAGATTCTGTTTTCCATTCAGCAAATTTGCTATTTATTTACAATTTCTAATCACCCGAGACTATCTGTAAGAATTTGTATTACTATACCGATTGTGGAACTCTAAGATCTTTACTAAATCCAATTCTTTTATAGGACTTGGCAATATGGAGGTTGTTTCCATAACTCATCTGTAAATTTTAACAAGTTAAATTGCAGTACAATAGCAGATATGAAATACCTAATTGTTTTTAAAAAGAGAAGAATATAAAAAATATTCTTTTAAAAAATCACACCTCCTGAAAGCATCCTAGTTGAAGAACGATGGCACGTGGTAGATGACAAAACTTCATAGCCTTTCTCGTTTTACCGTACCCTAAAATTTTAATCGTACATTAATTTTTTCTATCAAATTCTGTTAATTTCTCTTTAACATTTGGATTTACCTATCAAATTGCAATCCCTGCAAGGAACTTCAGATTCATCAAAAACCTCCTCGTACAACAAATCTAACAACCCGTCTTCAACACACTGAAAAAATCGGAAAATTATCTTATTCGTTAGCTAAATAAACATGATATGTATACATACATGTATATACCAGGTATAGTGCCTTATCAAGATTTGAAAGCAATTTGAAATCCTTAACTTATTTTGATATTGATCTTTCGATCAGTTTTAAATACAGGAGTCTTTATACATTAAACTGTCCATATATTTACCTAAATTGCAAAAGTATGTTAGAATGAAGGAAAATGAAACATTCTAAATGAACAAAAAAAACCCCTTAATATCAAAGATGTATCTAACAAAGAAATAAAATAATCACATGAAAATTCCACCCGGAAATACGATAAATTATTATTTCTTTTATATATGTAATGGTATAAACAAATATTGTGTACTTTATATGCCATACATATATAATGGAAATGCAAAAATATGGTGTTTTCAAAGCCCCTGTTATATGTTTGGACGACTGATTTACACTTACGGGAGATCCAGAAGGTATAGTCAGGCTTCTCATGATCTGCGTGTCAGTCACGTCTCTCTACAAGCAACAGATATTTTATGTCATCATTTTCTTCTCGAATTTAACATTTTGATAAAAATATCTTATGAGCTTAGCAAATATTAAAAACTTGCAAATTGTGCAGTTTCAAATTATTACATGTACTCTTGATCATTGTATTATCGATCAATATAAATAGATATTATAAATATAATATTTTTCACACCTTGTATCAGCCGGAGACTTAAAATATCTGCCAGAAGACAAGAAGCCCGAGGGCTTATATACTATATATAGATTGCACGCTGATACAGTAAGTGATGTGGAAATCGAATATTTATTACATACTTTATTATTAAAAATACCACGCATCAGTTTGACAAAAATACAGATAATAAATAATGCACTGACATGAAACTTATTATATCAAAAAACAAAGATTTAAAATTCATAGATGCATTCCTTATTAAATGAACAATGAATAAAATCATAATTTAATAATCAATATTTTGAATATACATACGTGTGTACAGGAGTCAAATGTAAACTCGTCAACCATTTCCATTTCAAATATTCGTGCCAGATCTAAAATAAAAGATAAAAAATTATTTTATTCTTTTATTTCTAACATGACGTTTGGTCTTTAATATTTTAAAGATCTATAAGGGAATACGTACACTGTATACGCATTGTGTATCTTCAAAAGGGGTAGAAGTTGCTTTCATGAGGAATTAATTGCCCACGAGGAAGAAATTTATGTTCTTTTTACATGTAGTACGTACCATCACAATCGAGTTTACAATTTGTAAATATATTCCAAATCACAAAACAAGTTTCCTATTGAACAAATTTCACTGCTGAAAGGATTTGTAATCCACAAAATTCAATCAATAGGAAAAGCCAAAAAAAAAAAAAAAACGATATCATTCCGCAATGTGACGTATTATAACACTGTTCTACCTTTTGTTAGCAAAAATATATTTAGCAGTAAATTAATTATTTTGTCAAAGATACCACGAAAGTAAATCATGTGTCTTCAAAGTGTTTAACATACATTTATGTTTATTCAAAATGTAAAACGTATTGCTAAAGTATATCAACGTTTAGTGATAGGTATAGGTTTCATATAATTTTTCTACAATTAACTTTAAAATTAAAATTCTTTTTCTGTATTGTCTTTTTTCTTTTATCCAAAAAACATTTTAAGGACGGATGATACACACATTTTTTTTTCTTTAGGGTACACTTGATATCATCT